TGGTGATAGATAGGTAACGAAACGAAACGCGAGCCTATAGGCCCGACTTGACTTGACAACGGATACTCAAACCGTGAACCGGCGGATTAAATGTCGTAGAACCGCGAACCGCAATTAGATGTCGTAGAACTGATAATCGTACTGAATGGCCTCGCCCCAGAAGGACGGCGTGCATGCGCCGATGGTCGCGAGGCCGTTGGACGTGGTTTTGGTGCCGAGCTCTTTTGCGAAGACGTTGTCGGTCGTCGCGGCTGTCCAGGGCTCGAGAGCGGGCGCGTTGGGGCTGCCGGTGGCGATGAACATGCGGTAGCGGGCTTGCATCTCCAATGTCAGCGCCGCCTGCGCGGGCGTCGGGTTCGGTGTGGTGCCAAACTGCAGCAAAGAGTAAAACGTCAGTGAAATTTCGCGGAAAGGGAGTGCAGAAGAAGAACGCACGACGATGTAGATATCATCCCTGTGGCAGACCGAGCCGGTGTCGAGGCAGAAGCTCGTGTTGGCATTGGCAGGGTACGTCGCACCCAGAGTGTACAGCCCGACGAACGCGTGCCCCCCGTGCGCGACCCAAGTGCGCGCGAACGTCCACGCAGCGCACTTCCACAAATAATCCGTCGCGAGCACCTCCAGCGGCACGCGCGCGTCGCCGTTCGGGTCGATGGGGTAGAACGGCGAGTTCATGAGGATCTGCGTGCGGTTGGGCCCGAGGCTCACGTCGGTGACGAGCGGGAAGAAGTCGGCCTCGATGGGGTCGGGGCCGGGGAAGAGGAGCTGGTAGACTGTCGGACCGGCTTCGTTGTTGACGTTGGTGAGGAGGAGGGGCTTGTTGACGGCGGGGAAGGCGGCGGTGGAGTCGAGGGGGGTGGTGACGAGGTGGCCGTCGCGGACTGGGCGGAGAGGGGAGCCTTGGCCGGTGGAGGGGTCGAGGGATACGGACTCGTTCTCGACGGTGGTTTGGGCGTCGAGGATTTCGTCTAGAGTCAACGCCATCTGGCACGCCGTGTCGCTGGCGCCGCAGGAAACCAGGTCGTTGAAGGCACCCTGCAGGATTACCTGCGTCTCGAGTGTGAGGAAGCCGTAGTCCTATGCGTTGTGTGAGTCAACGGGTACATATTCTATGAACGCGGAAAACTCACAATCGGGTCGGACTGCATGATCGCATTGCGGAACAAGGCGGACGCCGACGGAGTAGCCAACAGTGTGCGAATCATACCCGCACCGCTGCTCTGACCAGCGAGAGTGACCATCGACGCGTCCCCACCAAAGGAAGGCAGCACCGTCCCGAGGAATTTAACCGCGTTGATGGTGTCCTTGACCGCCAAGTTGAAGGTAGAGCCGTCGGGGGCCAAGAGACCAAGCGCGCCGAGGCGGTACTGGATCACTGCGACGATGCTGTTGGTCGCAAGGGCAAGTTTCGAGCCGTCGAGTCCGTCTCCGGTCGCGGACCCAGAGTCGAATGAACCGCCGTGAATCCTAGATTTATTCAACATCAGTTAGAAATTTACCCAGGAAGGGTGAGGGATCGCTTACCAGACCAAAGTGGGTACATGGCTTGCAGCGGTGAAGCTTGCCGGGACATATATGAGCATGGCGAGGCAGTCCTCCGAGTACGTCGACGGGTCCACGCGGATCTGAGGACACTGAAGGGGAAGCGCGGCGGGATCATCAGATCCGTTCCTGGAACATCGTCAGACGAAGAACTTGGCGCGGGTGAGGAATAAAACGCACGGAAGCTGCCATTCGGTGACGACGGTCGAAGGCGCCCATCTAGTCGAAGTCGCATAGCGCACCGCGAATCGGTTGACGCCGTTGTTGAGGACCCCCAGCGCGGCTCCCAGCGGCGTCGAGACCATGACAGCGCGCGAGGCGATGGACTCGACGGAGGCGGGAATCGCCCAGGTTGCGCAAGGGAACGCGGCGAGGAGCACCAGGAGGGAGTGGGAAGCGACCATATTGAACGTGCCGAACTTGGGTGGAGAGGCGGTCGGTCGATGAAAGTATGTGGGCTGGAATCCTGGTTTATATAGATTTTGAATGCGCGGTCTGTGCCCGCCGTCAGCAGAAGCGCCAGGCACAAGTAGCCCCGGCTCCCGCCAGGTCAGGGAGAGTACAAGGGCGTTACCTCCATAGTGGCCAGGGCTTTCCAAGGAAGGAACAAGGGAGTTCGGCAAGAATAACCATCTATCAATCAGGGCAGGAACCAGATTTAGCCAAGGGAGGATTGCGTCGTGTTTCCAGCGGCCAAGTATATCCTTGGTGGAAGAAGGATGCAGCACCCACCTTTTATCCGCGAATTCGCAGAGAATCTCCTCGAAGAGAGTAGACGTGGGATATGGGGCACCGAATATAGACGGTCGGGCGGCCAAAAGCGCTCCTTCTGGCACAAGGTCGAGGAACGCAGCTGTCTGATCTGACGACGGCCGGGATGCAGCGACTTGTTGTGGAAGGAGATAAGAAGAACAAAGGCCGGACATAAGATTCAGAACCGGACCGACACGGTTCACGTGCTGATATGCGCTGAAAAGGTCGTCCTCGAGTCGGATCATCCTTGGGTCTGCATTCAATTGAACGACGTTCCGCCGAAGAGATAGAGGCCCTGAGAATATATGTACAGGACGTACCGATGGGGGAAGTCACAAAAATAGGACCGTCTTGCTGACGGCGCACGACTTCTATGGCTTCCACGGGCAGAGAGGACGATGGCGGCATGCAGCGATTGAATGCAGCCCAGAACAGCTCATAATCTGCTGACACTGACGTGAGTGCGTTCTTGTCCCGGTCCAAGGGAAAAATAACTCGGAACCCAATATTAGCTCGCTCGGCTTCCTTCGCTTTGTTGCTTGAGCCGCACATACTCCTTGACAGCCGGCATGTGGGGAGCTAGCGAACGAGTGCGGCATGCATGCATTCCGCAGTTGTTCGGGTAACGTTAGCAGGTAGCTCCATGGACCAGAATAAGGCGGACGACGACGTCGTCTCCGTTAATTAAAGGACTGTAGGGCATTAACATGAGCCGCGAGTCGCGACATTATCGGGGCGGCGTTTAGATATCGGTTCAATAGTTGACTACCAGGCGGAGTTGTCCGCATCCAGCATCTCCTCCTGGAGGCGAGTGAGTGTAACGTTTAAAGACGCGGAGTTGGAAAGACTGGGCACCCTCACCTCCGTCCTCCTCCTCGGCGCAAAGAAACTCCAGCGTTTATTCGTGTTCGGACGCGTTGGCGGCGGGGTTGGCGGCGGTGCATTTCGCTGCGTCCCCGTCTCATCAGTGAGAGAGCGTCGTCGAGTACGATCCAACGTACCTGACCGTGCTCATTCCTCCGGGTGGGTAACTTAATCTAAGAAGGGAGGGGTTGATTTTATTTCGTTTGGGACGGGAGGTGAGTTCCGTACTGACCACTTTGGGATCATTAAAGGTCGGGTTCGGGACGCGGATGAGCAGCGAGAGGCTCGTGGGCATCGTAGGACGGTGCGTCTAAGATATCAGGTCAGTGTTAAAGCCGGGTAACGAGATACCAGTCTCGCATACCGAAGACATCCCGCGTTGACGGCGTTTGGAATCCTGCATTAGCGCCGTCGTCAGTAATGCTCGAGAGCGGAGGAGAATGCGAAGCGGGGGGCGCACCATGGGAGAGAGACGGGTAATAGGTCGGCGGGGGTCTCTGAGGTGGCGCCGTTAGCAGGTTATATATGGGCGCCCGAAAAAGCCCATGCATGATGCCAGCATGCATGACTGACACCTTCCTTGAATGCATAGCGCACCAAGCACTCCGACCAGGCCGCAGGCCTCGAGCACAGGTTCGTCCCCCTGTTCGCGCCCGGGCCACGTAGCGCTTCAATCAGTGAATCAAGCTCTAGGTCGACCGCGTCACGATTGTCGGGGAGATGTCGGCGTCTAATCGAGGAAGCGTAGTCGGGAGAACCGAGAAATAGACCCGGGTCCGTGGTCGCAGGGAGCAGTACTAGTAGGGACCTCGGTATTGACGGATTGCGGCGAGAATAGACAGTTTGTACGCCGGCGCTGTCTTGAAGAGAAAGCGGAGGACTTGAAAGCGATTGGCACGGAGGTCGCTGGCCCGCGGTAGAGAACGCGCCGTTCTCGCTGAACAGTAGCTGGAGGGGATGGGGAAGGGTGTGGAATGAGAGAGCCGGGAGAAGAATCCATCCTCGAGACTCGCCCCGGCCATTCGCAGCCATTCGCCCAATCTCGGCCTACGATAGGGAGCTAACGTTGACTCGAGTTTTGACGGCACATGCAATTCTTGCGATTCGATAACGGAAAAGAACAGCTTGGGAGAGCCAGCGAGGACGCGGTTTGGACGAGGCGGCGGAGACGAGCGGGGGTCACGCCGTTACGCGAGTGACAGAAAGTGACTCATCCGGCATCTCGCGCCCCGGCAAATGCCGTGGGCCCCACAGCCACAGTTTTTCAACTAATAATTTCCAGTCTCGAGACAGGCTGGTCATCGCGGAAGCTTTTGACTTGCGCCGTGGGAGGGGAAATAGAACGGTCTATGAATTGGTCCAGAAATATAATAAGGGTACAGTAAGTATATAAGTCCCAAGGCTGCCCCTTTCTCTCGCCCAAATTGAATCTGGCCCTACGTTCCAGGAGTTCTATCCTCATATCGCCACCCGTGGGCGTCTACCCTGAAAATTATGCTTGAAGCTCAGGTAGGACTGACGGAAATTGGAACATCTCACGCGGCTTCTACCGAAATCCGATCGCTACTTCGGGGCCAAGCGCAGTGGAGTAGGCCTGGTTGATGCGGTGTGCAGTGAGTGGATGGGCCAAGCTCTGTACTCGACGGCCGTGTGGTCCTTGTTATCCTGGCGTCGATTGGGCAGAAGGAGGGAGGAAACATCGGTTACTGATGTGTCCGGGCAAGAGAAAGCATCGCCGTGAGCCGATGCTCACGGCCCTTGCAGCTCAAATGCCCGAACCTTCCCGTCGATTCGGGAAGACTCATTAGACGGTCCGAGTCCAGGAATTCATTTGCTGAGATGGGCGTTTGGTGTAGTGGTATCACTCATGCTTTGCACGAGTACGCTGGTATTTCAACGTACGAGAATCTGTATGCGGTCATGGGTTCAAACCCCATAGCGTCCAACGCTTTTTAGACGTCTTACGGACCTCTTCATTCTATAGACCCATTTACGTTCTTTTGGAATTCCTCCCGCAGCTTCCTCCCAAATCGCCAGGAAAGATCTCGTAGCACCGTCGTCCACTATATTGACCATTTGAACGCTGGTAACTCGTTGTGTCGGGCCCCAGAGCTCCAGAAGCTCAGAGCAGACCAAGAAGTTGCGTCTCCGGTGCAAGCTGATGTTACGTCGTCTGTCGGCCGCCCTGTCGCTCCAAAAATACTGAACGACTTCCCCCACTATGTTCTCATGAAGGTCGACCCCAAAATATGGCTATACTGCGAATTTGCCGTCGACACGCAGCGCCTATTCGGTCATTTGATCGCTGGTTGAAAACTTGTGGCTGTGTTACGGAGCAGTCTCGGCTTGCGGTAACTCGGCATCTGCGAGTATTTGGAATTAATTTAGAATCCTTGGAAAATGTCCCCTGCCTCCACTGAGTCCTGCTCTTCACCGTGTCTGCGTTGCGACTGTATCCTTTGCGGGCCTCCCCCAGAGGTTCAAAACCTCTTAACTGGACCCTCTCCTGGGATTCTGTCCGTCGATCACGATTCCAAGCTCGGCGCCGTCCAAACTGGGCCAGTTGTACGGTCAGCAGCATCCAGAGCGCAACTACCTCTTCCTGCGAAGCCTGTAGAACCGACTTCTCCGTGTCTTTATAGAGGACTCACCGAGACTCGCCGGATAATGACAACCTGACAAGTGCAATATGTACTTCCTGCGCCCCTTCTCTTCCTGGCAATCTACAACCAGCTGAGGCCTACGCACCTGTGGTTGTCTACTGCTTCTTCACCTTGGGACTTAGAAGTGGCGACCCAGCTCCCTTTCATCAACGCTCGCCGATCTTGACGAACATGCGGAGAGACCGGAGAGGGCCACCCTTTGCTGCGGTTCAACCTCATTTCAGGCGACCTTCGGTGTCATGGGTTGACACGGTGCTTGCTCACGTGGGGCTGTTCGCAGTGCGTTTGAAATTTCCTCCCGATATCTACTCCATCGTCTATCCGTGTGTGGTCGACACTCCAAATATCCTAATTACCCTAAATCGCGACATCATTCCCGAAATGTGTGCTCTCGATCCTCGTCTCCTCCTTGTCGCGGATGTAGTGCGTTTCTCGCGAATCTCAAATTCTGACTTAGCTTGATGATACCGACGATGGCCGGCACAAGATATCTGATTCGTCGTCTGGAAGTCCAAAACCGATTGAAAAGAAATTATTTCGAAGCAGCGGTAACAAAGCGGTAAGTGTATGATTATGACTACGCGCTCATCGCGATGTAGTCCCCGGAATACATCTCCAACCAAAGCTTCCTGACCTCTTCCCTCCGACCGGGACCATCACTTCCACGGATATCAGACTCGTGCATAACTCTCGAGTGATCAAATTGAACCCACCGAATGATGAAAAAAATGGTGCGGAAACGCTCGAGTCTGGAGTTGTTCTCTGGCCAATCGGGGCCGACAAGTTGGTCGATGGCAAGGCACCTTGCGGCATCATAATGTCGGAGGCAGTACTGCTGGACGACCGTCTGGGCAGCCTGGATCATTTGGGAGCTTGGAATATCTTCACGTATTCCAGCTAATGTTCAAGTTAGCTCAGCTTCAATCGTACTGGAATCATTGGGGACGACTCACTTATTATCTCGTCAAACCCGCCATCGTTCTGGGTTTCTTGCGTCGGCATTGCTGAGTATTGAATTGGTTGGGCTGGAGGAGGGCGAAATGTGCAGTGGTGGTTGACTGATAGAAACACGGGCTGCGCCCGGTTTATATAGTGTTGTGTGTACACACCCGTGGCGCAGTGCGGTAAAATCATCAACAGAGGTGACTCGCAAGCACGCAGACGCTGATCGTAGAATTAACGCCAAGCCTCATGTTCAACCCGAGTCAGAGTCTGCACCCACAACTTGACGCATTTCTGCCGTCAATCATTACAGCCTCGCATTTTCAACCAACGTCGCTCAATCGGGAACCCCTTGTTCAACCGTGGGAAGAAGCTTTATCATCTCCACGATCACTGATTCGCGGCTCTTCCCGGGCGCCACTTGGTACAAAATAGGCCGCATCCTTGTTACTGCAGCTCTCAGGGTCCAGGAGGCGAATCAGTGCGAGTCAGTCCACATTTTGATCGCGTCTTTGGACGCCGTTCTTGATGAAACCCTGGACAGCGTTGTGGCCAACTGAACTCGGATGTGGCGGGCGCCGTATAAATACGGGGCCGTGTCCATGGCTCTTCATCGCACTCTCACATCATGTCTGGATCCTCAATGCGTATGCGATCTCACCTTTATTCCTCCGGCGACCATTATTCCTGACCGACTTCTTGTTTCAGGTCAATATTCTGCAGAGGATATTATTGAATCTTACACGGAGGGGAGGTCAGACGAGAAACTTCAGAAAGACTGTAGAGACTTCCTCGCCCACAACAAAGGCAAAGATGCTAGAACTCGTGTTGAGCGCGATATGGTCAGAATTGTTCAGTACGTCTCAGATTCGCACGGATTAAATACGCCTGAGCTAATTCGCGCGCAGGCGGAAAGCGGACAAAAAGAAACTGTTGGAGGCATGGCAAAGGTTCGAGCTATGGGATTCAAGTCGTATGTGCCATTGCGCCCCTGAGGGACCATTGATTCAACATCTGATTGTTTCACCAGCTCAACCCTCCCGCCCAATATTAATCCAGTCGGCTGACCTCATTATCGAAACATTCCTGCAATATGAGGATGTCGATGAAACACTAGCCATGGGGCTCTACAATGATTGCAAGAACTTCTTCCAAGCATCGCACGATGTGGCAGAAATCCCCTTCTTGGAAGCTATTGGAATCGTTGTCACAGCTTCGATAGTGGACCTGGATCCCAAGGAGAGGAAAATGGCGCAGAATAAGGTTGAGAAGAAGTGGTGGAGGGCAATGCAGCAGATCGCAGGAGAGGCTAGACAGTCTTCGGATACGGGCGACTTCGACAACTCCGATGGCGTCGACCACTCAGACTCCTCCTCGATCTCCGAACCCCCGGACTCCTCCTCAAACCACTCCTCCGACTCCGAATATCCGCCGAACTCCGACTCCGACCCCCCCTCCGACTCGGACTCGGACGAGGATTAAGTGTGGAGCCGGGATGGATGGCTCTGTTGTAGACAGCTGCAATGCAAATATGACATGAGTTTATCGAGACCCTTGAATCTCCACGCCGACGATCCGATATGCCGGAAGGTACACCCGGTTTCCGCCTTCCAGGTCCCGCACTGAAGTCTGACATGAAACGTCTGAGTCTTGAGGTTGACGCAGTGGATGGCAGTATATACTAGCATCCAGGGTTTTGAACCGGCCAGCCAGGGTACTAAGGCATAATCTTGAGCGCGAGAGGTGTATAGATGAGATCAAGCGAGTTGAGAGGTGCCTGCGTTGGTTCATGGTCGGAGCGGTGCCAAGTCCACCGTCCTAGGTAATCGTTGTCTGAGTGTCCTCGAGGGTAGCTATCATCCTTGTTTTTTCGACTCGGATTCTACGATACTTAGCTGCATGAGAGCGCGCCCAAGTGCCGTGAAGAGCGGCGTAAGGAGTGCAGCTCTTCAGAACCTCGCAGTGGACCATTTATTCGGAAGAGCCCCTGCCGATTCCGCCCGATTGTCAGAGAGTTGTGTCGTGTTGGCCGCCCGCCACCAGAATTCACTGTCCAGAAGCCTCCGGGGGAAAGCCCAAGTACAGCAAGAGGATAGGCATGAAAATCGTGATTAGTGCGTCGCCAGTAGTATGCGCTGCCGCTGAGGAGCCCCAGTCTGAGTTAGAAATGCACAAAATGCACGGTCGTGTCCCGCGGATCAATCATCAACGATTGCCGGGGGCAGTGCCCGCTGGCATTCTCCCAACGACGACGACCAAACGACGACGAGCTCGAGGGTCTTGCCCACGCAGCGTCCCATCTCGTTCCTCTCTTGCCTGACGAGCCCTGGCGTCTTTCATCAACTCTCCCTGTCGAGATCCCTCGTTGCTGGCTGGATTGCTTCGAAAGGCTCTCTGTCGAGTTCTGAGCCCACTTTTTCTGTTTGCAACAGGTGGAAGCTTGGGGCTAGAGGGCGGCATATTATCACTGTCTCCCGCATACACGGTCTCAATCAGGTCCAGGGACGACGGTGACTATTTTCGCCTCGGTTGCTCGACTCGCCGCGCTGTCGGTCAATATCCAGTGGCCTTACGCCGGACTCGACTACTTACGAACTCTACCGCCAGGCGACGGGACTTCATCTTCGGACCATACTTTAAGCAGTCTGGTTCTCCGCTGCGGATAGTTGCAGATGGGTGAGTGGGTAGCGCTTCTTGGAAGCCTCGCTGATTCCGCATCCTACTGATATTGGTTGGCCCACGGTCACCACCGGACTGGACTGAGAAGGACGACTTGACACTTGTACTCAAATCCTGCCCCGCATGCGTGAGGCCAGCGCAGGCAAGTAATGTTTCTCAGCTCGGGTCCCCGCGATCCCGGTGGACTTTTGATCGTCAGAGACCAAGGATTGTCGCGCTTAAGCAGCTCGAACTAAAACACCTTCACCCCACAAGTCTCAGACTCGATTTCCACTCCGGTTCGTCGAATCTTCATCATCCGCGGACGTCGTTCCTGTCCCTAGATACTCCGCGGAAAAGATATCCAACTCGACGAAGACGAGAATGGCGACGCAGTCCCGAGCCCAATAATTCTGGTAGCGTGTCATGTTCCTTGTTGGCTGTATTCAGAGTTCATAGCAGTGTATTTCTTGGAAATGCGGCGACTTCCTGGCACCCTACCGGGGGAAAGCGGCAATCCGGAGCCTCTGGCTCTGAATGCTATCCGTTTCCTGGCATTTCCTCGCGCCTTTCTATCACATACGGCGTCTCATTTCTCCGATGCGGTCTTCGTGGTCTCCGCGCGCCCCCGGACGTAGATGCTCACGAGCGGCTCCCGCTCCCCACGATCCATCTATCTAAT